TTTTAATAATTACACACCTGTGGTTCAAATGAATCACAGTAAATTACAAGTTCCCTCAGTGTTAATGTAACAAAAAAAAAACAAACAAACAAACACACAATTGATCATGTAAAGTAAAATAATGCAACTACTTCTGTGAGGAATTTATTTAGAAGTTATTCTATGGAGCAATACTCAGTTCGAATTATATTACAGAGCTAAACTTAACCTCACGGGCTCATCCATATATCCATTCCCGAATATAAGCTGAAGATAGAACATAGGTCGTCGACCTACAGATTTACTGGGAGGCTGGTCAAGAAAGCCAATGTCATTGGAGACGTGGATTTACCAAAGAGAGAGCACCATGAAGGAAGCTTTTCAAGAACCCTAGCAACTTTTGGAGTCACTCTGTCCACATCCGTTCTCAGTTTTAACAAGGGTTTTGAGCTTTCTGATTCTATATTTGGTGGTCCTTGAGGATGTGTGACGTTAGTCGACCAAACAAGATTCAAGTGAATGTTTGTTGGTGCGTTCCTTCCTCCTGCGAACTGAATGATATGCCATCCATCAACCTGGGTCTTTCCACCCAATGGGACTACTTCCACTGCATTAGCTGTTCGCAGACAATAAAATGCATAACATGTTTTAGTTCTTAATCATAATCTGCAGAGTGCAAAAGTTCATATATAGCCATATGTTCATAATGTCCAACAGAAGGCATGTGTTTATGTGTTCATGTGTTCATTATGTGTTCATAATCTAATATCTAATCTAATCTAATACTATTTATTTATTATTCTAAAAGTGTGAAGGGTGTTAAAACTTTGTTTTCCAAAATATCCTCAATAATAACATCAATTGACAACAAATAATACTATATATCTAATACTGATGCTTATATGCGCTACTTATTAAAGCACCTTATTTGAGGTCAAAAAGGACAATAGCTAGGTGGTTATTCAAAGGGATGAGCTTTAATTTTCATGAGGAATTGAAAGGTGAATGCATAACGTTAATTGAAGTTTAAGGGTTTCATTTAATAATAGTCCCTCTCTACTAACGTTAATTTACACCTGATTATGAGAATTCAAACTCTCATTCACTTGTAAAAAAAGTTGAATTGATGTATTCAATCATTTCTATAGTGAAAGTTATATGTATATGTTGTTTGTATTTGGATGAAGATTAGCTTAGTAAGGATAATTTAAACTTTTCATTATCTTGTTTTTTTCTTTTCAAAAAGTCTTCATAATCTTTTGAACTCCACTAATTAAGCATTTTTCTCAACCTATTAACACCTCATATTTACTTATGGGGTGTTGTCTTAAATCAAACCTCTTCATTTCCTCCATCTTATAACCGCTAAACAATCAATCATAAATACAACCTCTTACTTCTACCCCTCACAAATCCTTAATCTATCATGAAAAATAAGTTTATCCTCCAATATTAAGCTCTTGCCCTCATAATCTCTCTTTCTTTCGCTCTCGCAATAGCCCACAAGCTCTCGCCAACAAACTCAACCTCCAATATTAAGCCTTCAAGGATGACGACGTTAGCCTCTGGGCTACTGGAGCTTACTATACCTCCAAAATTAAGCTCCTGCTAGACCTTGAGTTATCGGCATGATCTATCTTGATTGAATGTTGGGAATTTTTTTTTAGTTTCAGGAATTAATTTCAATATGATGATAAAGATTCAACCTTTTTTACTTTGGAGTATTATTTGGTATTAGAGGAATATACAGAGCAATTGAAAAGTTAGTTCGCTAGTCATAAGCATGCAATTCTTCCAGGTTTACCAAGGAATTTTTATTACTAGAATGTTTATTATATGAAAGAAGGGCCTTATACGAGACATATATAATCTTTCTTTTAAAGAAGAGGTGGTAGGAGGAAGAAGGGACATAGTGGAAAGAAAGAGCAAGAGAGAAACCATGGTTGAGTTATTAGTGTGCGTTAATTAAATGAACATTTGCCACTTATAAATAGAGAGGGTACAGAGTTGTTTATACAACCAAGCATGAGGACTAATAATACAATATGCCCAATAATTTGATAAGAGTCTAAACCTCAAGACTTATTCAACATTTGTATGCCTAGAAAACCAAGAAACAAGTGAAAATTTTATGTTCTTCATATTTACACGATTTTAGCTAAGAATTGTTATTTTTAAAAATTAGTTCACAACTACAGGCTATTTACTACGCTAAGTTTCTCTTAGGACGGGAAAGATACCAAATTATTGTATCCACAATTAAGTACAATATGCATGACAACTAAATAATTTCACCAATGAATTAAACCAATTATTATAATCTCAACATGTTAATCACCATTCTAACCCATAAAATTCCCAATTCATAACTCTTTTATCCCTACTTTAAATAATTTTATCTATGAATTAAATTGGGTAATATTTTTTTTTGAAGTAATAAATCGAGTAATGTTTATAATCTCAGTAACACATTAATATCCATTCAAACTCATTCAAATCCCTAACTCATAATCCCCATCTCTACCTTAGACTGTCAAAATTCATCATTCTCAACCTACATACAACATGCATAATCACTCAACATGTGCTTCGTTGTCGGAAAAAAGAATCATCTACATGTTTATATTTGCTCCAACATTAATTTTGCATCCTGTGCTTGTATCTCTGCTTAAAATTATCCAACTTTTAATTTGCATTGATTTACATGATCTTTTAACTCTTTGTATTTGTATTCATTTTTAGGGTTAATTGCATGTAACCTCCCCCATCTACATCTTGATTTGCACAAAACCCCTCAAATCATGTACTAACAACTAACCCCCTTGAAATGTAGTTTTTAGAAAGATAAAGTTGAAAGTAACGTCCCTTCTTCTCATGAATTAAAGGACGCCAACAACTAATCAATGAAGCGAGGGAGTTTGACAATTTTCAGAAAGATAAATTATAATTAGCATCCCTCTTTCTTATGGATTGTGAAGAAATGAGAGTTATTGAATGAATTGAGAGAAGTTTAGTGCAATTTAAGGTATAGATGAAGGGTTATGTGTTATTTACCTATAATGACTATATGTACTTTTTTAAAAGAAACTTTTATTAATAGAGAGGTGAGGACCCCTATTACAAAACTTAAACAGATAGAGAAAAACTATTGATTTAAAATTAATTGTGATACGTTAACATTTTTTCTTCCCCTATAATTTTAAATAGAGTATTATTTATCTAATGTTACTTCTTCACTCACAAATATTTGATACTCTCAGGCCTTTGACCATATAAGTCTGAAAAGTGAAAATAGAAAAAGAGAGAGATGTGATTCATGGAAGGTCTAAGTAATGCCATGTTGAATTTCAGATCAAAGCGATATTAGATGATTTAGTGGAAGACCATCTTTAGTCTCTCGAGTGATTGTCATTGTTGGAAGATTTAATCGTTATTGTACAAGCTTTTGCTCACTAATGTATCAAGCATTATATAGTTGCTATTATGTTTATCTTTACCTATGTTAACTCTTGAATATGAGTGCTTTATTTGCATTTGTGATGGGTCTATAACTTCTGCTAAATTAACATATGAATCCAAACATATATTAATTTTAATTAATTTATTAGTCTAATAGACCTTAATCTTATCTTACAAAATCAAAAAAGTGAAATAAGATATTTTTTCTATATTCTATGAAGTTAAGATTTCTGTTTCGAATCATTAAATTCTTATCTAAAATTGAATTACTGATCATATTCGTAGATATCTTATCTATTTTTCTTTTTTATTTATTTAATTATTTAATTATTTTTTATTTTTAATCATATTATTTGCTATTATCATTACTACTACTAAATATTATTATTTCAAAGAATTTGTCTTAATAAAATTATTAGTTTTTAGTATTCATTTCTATAACTTATTAATTTAATTCAAATTTAGAATAACAACACCAACAATAACAACCAAGCCGTTTTCCGAAATGTTTGCGGCAATTCAAATTTAGAATATAAAACAAATATCTACGTGCAACGTACGTGTTCTATACTAGTGTTTAACAAAAGACAGAGCTAGTTAAGTCAATAAAGAAAAGACGTGTTCATAATGTTCAACAGAAGGCAGAGCTAGTGAAGTTAATAAGTAATTTTGGTAGATAAGGTCATGTAGCACAATCTAAAGTAAGCTAAACGAGTGTTGGCTGAAACAAAATCATATATAGTTTAGAAAAAAGAACATCCACCTGTAGCATTAGCAAGGATGGTCTCATGAATTTTTTTTTTTTTTTTAAGCATTTGTAATTTAAGGTAAGTTACACTTATGTTTTCCCCCCTTCTTGTTATAATTAGGGGCCGTATTTTATAAACCATTTAAATAATTCCTATGTATCTGAAATATATGTAACATAAATTGATGACATGGCAGCAACTTGGTTACTTGACTGAACTTCAACCAACAGATCTGATTAAATTCCAATGGTTAGGTTTCTTTCTCAGGACTCAGGAGAGTGAAGCCCCCAAAAACTCTCCATATAGCCCCACCAAAACTTGATATTTCAAATACATCAACAAATAGCCTAGACTCTTTTTAGATTTTTGGTTGACTTATAGTGAATGAGATGTAATATTATTTATACATAACATTCTCTGTTTCGTTTTATGTTTCTGTGATGTAAAATAGAGTTTCTTGACTCTATTCCATGATGAAGGTTTTGCTCTTGTTGATTCTTTGATTTCATATTACCACAATTATCATTTAAAGATAGTTTCTACAGGTAGGTAGTAGTAGGACTGCTACATATTTATATAGTTTCTACAGGTAGGTAATACTGTTAATACATATTTATAGGAATGACTCAGGTCTGAGCTTCTGACCCTTATTAATCAATATTTCTACTAGAAAGAAATTCATAAGCACCATAAGGAAAAGAAAAAAAAAAAACTTATTACCTTCGAACGTGAAGTCACTGATTTCATCGGTGTTAATTGCAAGTGACCAACGAGTTGAATGTTTAGTGTCCATTAGTACTCGTGTTTGCCTAACATCCGTTACTGAATCTCGTTCAACATGGAGTGTAGGAATGTCCATATTGCTCCATCCCTTCTCAGTGTCCTTGAAACTTAAACAGCCATATTTTACCATAAAAGTAACAAAATCAGCACTCGTGTTCATTCCGCAAACAAATTTTTCATCCTTCAAACTTTCAACCTCCTTTGTCAATTTACCAGGAGTGGTAGAAAATAAAGAAATATATGACAATGGGGGTTGATTTTCGTCACATTTTCCTGTTGTCTCCACTACATGCACAACCTGGAAAAAAAAAAGAGTTGCAGCAGAAAGACTTTTGACATTAGTTATGCCAAAACTGTAGCAAAAAACTAATTCCCTTCTACCGCTTTAAGATGAATTCGAAGCACTTTTACCATGGTGGTGTTAACAATGCTAGCAATATAGAAAAATGAATAGCCAGGACATCAAATCTCCCTCATTGAAGGAGTAGTTACTAATTGAAAAAAGGAAGTTGGTCAAAAAGATAAAAAAGAAGCCCATTGAACAAGGCTTCCCAGCACTGTAGACCTGCATAGGGTCAGAAGTCCTCAGCTGCCCCTAAAACATGTATTGATGATAGGTTATTACTTTGGAGCACATGAAGCCAGTGGTCCTATTTTACTATTATTGAATAATTTCCATCATGCAGCAACTTGATACATGAGTAGAGGAACGTAAACTGCAATTTTTCATCCATGCGACTTAAAGCAGAAAGACCAGCATTAATACGGATCCTTGCTGTAGGTAGATACATGTGGTAGTGTAGATATGAATTGTTTCTAGACAACTGTAGCAGGAAAAAATTCCCTTCTTGTAGCAGTTGACACCCGCTGTCTCTCCTTGCATCATATATACAGACTATACAAGTAAATGGGATCTACACAATACTCCTGTATATTGAACCTATAACAGACACCATCCTAAGTTCCGAACATAGGATTTGTCATCAGCATTAGCACATATGATGCCACCTTGGTATATACATCATTTAGAATAAGATCAAATACTTGGAATAGCAATTATCAGTTACTATATTGGAAAAGGTTATTCATGGAAAACAAGCATGCCGATGGGTGAGCCTCTAGCTGCCTCAGTGCTCCTTGATCTCATGTTGAGTATAAGGATGTTCCAAACATAAAGCCATGCCATGTCAGACATGTGTCAGATATAAGACGTGTTGGACATGATAGTCATGCAATAGATGTACGTTAAGAATCTGTTATGTGCTGCTGTGGTGTTTGTGTAGTATCCAAGTCCATGCCATGCAGTTATGAGGCTTTCCTTGTCTCATTGATAAAAATAAACGATTTTACTTATTCCTATATGTGCTCCTCCATCACTAGCTATGTAATTTTGTGTATAATAGTCTGGTTTGAGAAGTCTTCTCAAACACCTTCATGAGACAATTCCCTACATATTGAACCAGCAAGTTAAAAATCTAAATTTCTTTAGTGCAAGACACTTTATGCTTTCATGCAGAACCACATCTCAAAAGATCAGGAGATTATTTCCAATTTCAGACTCCAGATAAAAAAGTCTGTGTCATGTGATGATACATGCCTTTATAGAAGATATGGTTTCACATTCAGTACGCTAAAGTCCTCTTCACTATAATCATCAGGATTTAGTCAATTTGATAGACAATTTTATTTCCGTTAGTGGATAAGGCACATTAATTTAATTTAAAAACAAATAATAATCCACTTTCTACTTCTCAGGCAACCAAAAAGCTAATGTTTTTTCAGAAAGACTATACTCATGGATATTTATTTTCTCTGCAAAGCAATCTCCCAGTGCTTAATAATGTTGACTGTAGGAGGGAGGTGAAACTGGGGTAACAAGTATGCCACATTTTCATACACACTTCACATGCCAAAAATAATCGGGGATACTTAAAATATTTCTAAGCTGACATATGGTGATCTCTAGAGTCATCTGCCTGCCAATCTTACATTCATCATATATTTTGTCATATCACATTAATGCAACTTATTCACCAATGTACCAAAATGAAGACAAAAGAATAAAAAAACTTTTAAGACATGACTCCATAATAACTTGTTGGATTGGATATGATGAAAGATGACATTTGCAAGTGATACCAGATAATTTATAAACAAAAGGAGTTTCCATAGTCTTGAAATGGCTTACATTAACTGCACGGCTGATATCCTCTGTAAATGTAGGGACGATGCCAGTTGATACCGCAGCCAATGAGAGACCAAGTAGGACACAAGCTGAAATAATTATTGACCTTTTTGCACCTGCAAACGATAATTTTGTTATTCAAGCAACAATTTGAAACAATTTAAATGGTGAAAACTACAAGCAATTGCGACTAATAGTAAGTTATCGCTAATAAAACAACATGTTAAATATTGCTAACACTACCACCACAAAGACCATCAAATAACCCAAGCCTTGAAGTAACTAATGGTTCACTGTATATAACAAAAATGTTAAATCTTGCTAGCCACAGGCAGATAGTGATGTAATAAAATGCTGACAGACACATATCCAAGTTTTTGGGAATAGAATCAATGACAATGGATAAATAAAACATTTTTGCAACAAAAACAAACAATGCAGTAGCTGGAACCGAATCGATTACCTGAAGTTAAGTCTCAGGGGCATAGGACATTAATGTTTGGTTTGCCTAAAAAGCATGCCATGTATCTTGATGTTACATTATTAAGTTAAATTGGATTATTTTGATGGACCCAATTTTCGGATGTGACAAGCCAGGTCCACCAAGGAACAGGATTCACCACAAATGGCAAATTGCATCGGAATCAGTAAAGCCATATGTTCAGAGAAGGTGCTCATATTATCACATGGGTCGATTTTACAGAAACAAACTAAAACTTTCAGTTTATGAGACATGATTATGCATCTCTGTAAAAAAAGAAGAAAAGAGATTATTAGGACCTAACAAGCTGGATTCTCCGTGCAGTTGAACAACTTGTTTCTGAGTGAAAGCACGTTGAAGCAAGTGTTTTTGAATTAAAAGTCTCCTTTAAAAACTGCTACCATGTATATCCGCCACCCATCACAAGGATACACAACCACAAATTAACATGTTTACTAAATCTTCAGCATTTAATCTCGCAACAATTTGTATTCAACTGGAGTTTCAAGGATTATGTCAATTTCTTCTCATATAAACAAGATATGCCAGCTTTATAATCTTGTGACTTTAGATTCAGTTGAGAAGGACAAAAGTTATTGATGCACACAAATGCCAAATGCATAAGCACAAAAAAATAAAGCTACAACCTGAAAGATGAATATAAGAAAGTAGGTACACCAGTGTCAGACAGACAACTGCTGCAACGAACATAGCAAGTATGAGATTCCCAAGCCATCCAGGTGTGCTACCAGGGTTCCTGCAGGTAAATGAGAAAAGGTTGAATATATCAAAAAATATATTCAAGAAATTCTTTTAACTTGATCTGTAAGACAATAAAGGCTCATTGAGATTCTGACATGCAATGCTAATAAGACTGGATTAAGACGATTATTCTGCTAATCAACCATTCATATGAATATGACTGACATAACAGAGAGAAAATATCACCCAGAAGAATGTATGTCTACCTATCAAATCGAACCAAAATCCCTGTTAATGTCCCTAGAAGCTGGATAATTACACCAGCCGATAGAATAATAGGCATGGCCAAACCAACAATTAAGGTAGCAATTTTGAGCTGCTTTGGTAACCGTACTGGAGACAGTGTTGCTTCCATAAGACCATCTAGAAAAATAAGTCACAGAAGTCATATACAACAGAAAGCTGCGAACAAAACTAAAAGTAGAGAGGTGTGGAACTTACAGGCAAAAGCAGGTGAAACCAGCCAAACAAGTGCTAAGTATGAAGAGCCAGCCTTATACAAATTTCCAACAATAAGAAGGATAAGCCACTGGATAAAGCCCCCTTTGAATAGCCATCTTTCCGCCTCCCACTTTATTGCATTTTCTCGAACATTTGGAGACATACCAGGTTCCCTTGCAGAGTAAGTGCGACGCAAATGTCTCTGAAGAAAGAGAAAGCCTATGTGCTGACCAGCTACTGCCCCAGTTAAGGCAGGCGCACCAAACAAACCAACAACTAACCACGGGTTAGCAATATATGGTACGGGGGAGGAACTGATCAAAGGTACTATGAAGGCTACTAGAACTGACAAGCTCAGGGAAACTGCCCACATGAGAAAAATGTTCACACATGTTATTCCAAATGCAATCACAGCAGGATAACGACCCACAAATAAAGATGTCGCCCATAATAGAAGTGCTTGCAATATCACGGAGTTGTATAGCATGCTTGCAAGGCGTTGGGAGTACACAACCATGTGCATTCCCTGCAGTTTTCAAGAGCATATAAATTTGGGCTGTTTGAATTGCTGAAAAATAATTTGCATAATAAAAGAACTAGATTTCAATTCAGGCACTGTATCTAAATCATTATGGAAAAAGGGTCAAAATTTGCTGCTCACAATGTGAAAAATCTGAACATCAAGCATCAGAAGATCACATTATTGATAAGGAAAGTGATGGAGAACGACTTTCAGACTTCATTTTGAAGCTTATAACTTTGAAAATGAGCCAGGATCTTCTCTTTTCAGTAGGTTGGTCTTATCTTTATAGCTAGTTATGAATTTAGATTTGCATAACAATTTGTTGGGTTTTTTAATATTCTAACTTTTAGTCTTATTTTTAGATAAGGGCTAGGTCCTTTTTTTTTATTTAATTCAAGAATGTTTCTATCTTTTAGTTGTGGTTGCAAATAAAAAGAGATGGCATGACTAGTTGGACATGCACTATTGGTATTGCTCAATGAAAATAAGGAATACCAACCTTGACAACTTTGTCATCATTCAATTGTTTTTCAGCTGGCTCATTTAGGGTTTCAAAGTATTGCAATGTACAAAAGGACAAAATCCTACAACTCAATTAGGTAATTTTGGTCCCCTAGGTGCCATGATAACTAAAATAGTGAAACCTTTATTTATATAACTGTCCAATAGCTATAAATCATATTTAGCTTTGACTATTTGACAATTTAAGACTTTCCAGTACTTGAAGCATTTAAATTGTGCTGATGCACAAAAAATGTGGGATCTCTAATCCCAGTCAAGGAAGTAACAATTTGTTTAAATGCGTTTCATTTCATTATTCCCTCGATCCATTCTTTCCCGTGGCTATTAATCTGAAATCATATATAATTTCAAAATTAATTTTTAGGATAACCCTTGCTAGGTTTCTGGTGCTGGAACTCAGAAGGTCACCATCCCTTTCTTCCCCCTTCCCACCAAAACCACCAAACCCAAACCCTAGATCCGGAAGTGTCATCACACCAATAACAAATATCGAGCAATCATCAATGAGGCTCTTGATAACGGTAAAGGTAAGATAAAGGTTGACGAAGAAGACAAGTGAGTTATAAGAGAGGTACCAGCAGATTCAATAAAAAGTGCAAACCCAAAGCCAAACCTGAACCCAAATGAAGACCCACTCCGTAAAAAGTTACAAAGCCACTAGTCCTAAGGTAACAATCTATCTATCTTGGTGAACTATGTGTTTGAAGTAATGCCTCATCAAAGAAAAGAGTTTTGTGAAGAAGCAAAGTTATCCTGTGTAAAAGAAATGTCTCATAGACTAGAAGTTATTGTCTATGGTATGTAGTTCAAATATGTAGTAAGTTTTATTTTAGCGTTTGCAGTTTGATCAGCTCCTTAACCTTAGTGTGGTCAAAAGTTCCTCTAAAATAGGCTCTTTGAACAACTGTTTTCTCTAGTTTCTCCTTACCTACTTTTTTTTCTAAATTTCGGTAAAAGAAATTATACAGGGAACCCTCTATAAAAAATCATGGGTTTTTTGGATATTAATCCCTCAAATCTTTAATATTTAATATTAGTACCCCCAAACCATTGCAACTTGAGATTAGTCTCCTGAATCTTGTAACTATTTCCAAAATTTTCCCCCTAGTCCCTATAAGCATGCAGATTCAAAATTACAGCAGCGCCATCAATGAACTAAATAGGACAGCAATTCGGTCGGATGAAGTCCCGTTGAGCCATCTGAACTTTATATTAAACACCAGAAATAAAAGCAGTAAAAAATGTCTGTCATACCAGGATATCAAAAAAAATAGCCTGGGTTTGGCCGGTTGCTCCTTCTGTCTGCAATTCTTTTTCAAGATGAGGTGACATAGAAGCGTCAACCAGAAATGCCAGCATATTTTCTCCAAGATGTTGTAGAGACCCCGGCTTAAGAAGCTTCATTTTGTCATTCTGCATTTGGGCAACATTCAGACAATTAACTATCAACATTCAGACAATTAACTATCTCAGTTATACAAGACAGACCACACTACATTCATATGTAAGCTTATTGATTTTAATTATATATTGTTCCCACAGTTGGATATAGCTTCCAAAGTGGAGTATCTTTCAAATCCTTGTTCACCAGTCCTATGTAGGTGTTCTTAGCTCATAAGTAACACAAATGAGAAGATATCAGTTAAAACTTAAAATTGTAACTAGTAGTTACATAATGAGATTGGGTCAAGGAAATACCATCAACATCCAAAGGATATATGGTTTTCTCAGACCAATATAAGATTGCATTGGGCAGCCACTGATGACAAATCTTCGGTTTGATCTGTACGAAACGTTTTTCCTATAAAGTACCAAATGCATGCATGCCTACTAACGTTACATACATACGTACATAGTACATGCATGCGTTGAATAGATACATAGAAAATAACAACCAAACTTCCTCGATAAGCTTTATATTCCATCCCTAGAAACTTATTCAACCACCATAAATACCCTTGTCACTCCCATCTCTAGATAGAAATGTGAACCAGAAAACTTAATACTACTAATGATACATGTTCTCTTCTGGTAAGATGTAAGGAGTATAGAATCTTATCCAAGGAAACCAGTATTCTATTACTTGTATTACAATTTGTTTTTAATGGGGGAAAAACTGAAGATCAGTTTTAATGCAAACCTTTGTGTGATAAACCGCACTAAGATCGAGATATGCAAAATCAAGCCCAGGAAGCCCAGCAACTTCTTTATAGACTTGGAAGTCTGTGGCTGATTTGATTGCTCCAGAACTAAAGAGATCCTGCAAAAACATGATCAGCAGAATTCACTATCAGTATATAAAGATTACATGCCTTATATTCCAGAAATTCAAAGAAAAACTTTTGACACATGGGTCTTAAATTCTAGTAACTTAGCAAACAATCATCATAGTTCATCTGGATTAACTTGTTCAGATCCAGGATGCCCGAGCGATAATGCTAATTATTTATAAGAAATACCAAAAAGAATGAGAGGAGAGCATTAAGAAGCTTGACAAGCTAAAACAGAATATAAAGAAGAAGTCAGTGGAGAAGGTTGCAGCAGAATCTGATGATCCAGCGGTCCTTTCCACAAATTCAGAGTAATAACTTTCTTATTGATAGATAATTATTTTGTAGTTCCATTTCCACCACTTTTTATGTCATATAACCAAACTAAATAAGATGGACAGAAGATTCACATATTTATTTAGTTTAGTTCTACTAAATTCAGGTTTTTTAGCTATAAAGTACATACCCAGGAAGACTTAGATTTGTTTATTTTGAGTTTAGCCATTCAGTTTGATTTTCTTTTTCACTTTGGCATTCAATCAGATTTTTATGAATACTATACAGTTTTGTTTGAAAAAGTAAATAATGCGATTGCGTGCTCATAAGCATTGTTTCTGATCTACATTTTTATGTGCAATTTTCTAGACCTCTAATTTTGTGGATTTAATGAGTAAAAGCTTCTAAATTTGTTAGTAAATGTTTTCCTTCATAGCACAAGTTAAGCAATGGATTTCTTCAGACTGTTGCAGCTTATTTGGGTAAGAGAAAGCCGCAGTTCTTTTTTTCTCTTTCAAAGCTTTTATTCATGATCTTTGAGTCTAAAACTAAGCCTGGTTGCTTTTGCTTTTCCCTCTCTTAATTTCTACAAGCAGGTGGTTATGATAAGGCTATTACTGCTCATGATTTATCAGCTCTCAAACATTAGGTACTATGGCAACCAAGAACTTTCTACATTCTTAATCTATCCTTGATTTGAAGAATATTAGAGCTAGGAATTTCTTTGCATATATGTAGTTATTCAATAATTATTGTTTATCAGATAAGTAACTGTGAGAAAGAATTGGGGGGATGAAGCACATAACTAGGAAGGAGTATGTCGCATTGTGGGAAGATATATAGTCATTTAGTTTTATCTAAATAAATTAGATTACATGGTATTTTTTTGAATGAAGTAAATTGTAGCATATTAAGGGAGAAATCTTTTACTGAATCTCTAGAGATTGGTTGATTTAGATGCATTTTCTACAGAAAGAGCATTCTAAGAATAAACTGAGCAATTAGTAAATTAAGTATATACTTGACCAATCTCCAAATATGCTGGCAGAATGTATATGTACATACTCATCGTCCTAATACTGAAAAAAGAAAGAAACCTGCTTGGTGAAAATATCTAACCATTTAAATGCAAGACTATTTTTTGAAATCAACTTCTAAATTTTATATCCGAAAAACGATAACTTGTTGAATAACTTAAAATGAACAAATTCTTTATTAAAGCGATGGCAAAGAATATTTTTTTGGAATTTAAGAATTTAAAAAAGGGCACAAATTGAACGAAAAGAAAGGAGAAAAAAGTGATTATATAAGATAGGCATAATATGAAATTTAAAAACTAATTTAGATCTTTTTTTTTTACAAAAGCCATTCAGCTCATTATTTGAGTGTTTCATTAAGGAAACCACAATGGGAAAGAAAAAAGGATAAAAATTATATAGAACAATGTTTGATAATACAGTGATTAAATGTTTTGTTTTCTTTAGAAGCAATCGCATACAAAACCGATAAAAATTCCAATGCTTTACTTTAAATCTTTTTTCCCCTTTGATTCACTTCCTAATTTCCTTGTCCACAGAACAAGTATAAAACACACACGTGCACAATGTATGTGCACCATACTAAGTAAAGATAAACATGCCTTATATTGCTGAAATTCACAGAAAAACTTTTGACACATCGTAACTTCTAGTAAATTAGCAAATGACTGGTAATGACTGGTAGTAGAGAAGTTATTTGGGATTTTATATTCGGAACACTAAATAATAAATAGGGTTTTTATTGAAAACCACCTTTAAACTAGGACAAACCCATAGAAACCACCTTTCAAGTCCTTTTTATACAGAAACCACTTTATAAATGGATTTAGCTTTTAATCAACCATCCTAGGGCAATTTTTATTCGACTTTACCCGAAATGCACAGAATACCCTCCTCCTTCTCCTCCTCATCCACTCCACCTCTGCCCTCCTCCTCCTCCTCCATCCCCTTTTCATCCTCCTCCTCCTCCTCCACTTATGCTCATTCCTCCATCTACCCTCTTCTCCCCTCCATATCTTCCCCCTCCTCCTTTCTCCTTCATTTTACTTCCATCTTCCTCTCTCCTCTTCCACTCACCCTCCTTCCTTTATCTTTCATCCCATCTCACCCTCCCTCCTCTCCAGGCCCCATCTCAACCGTGGTTTGCATGAAGGATGGGGAGGGTAGATGTGAGAGAGAAGGAAGGAAGGTGGAGGTGGGTGAAGGTAGTTAGGATGGGTGAGGAGGGAGAAGGGAGAGTGTTTCTGGCATTTAGGGTAAAGGTTGAACAGAATTTATCATGGGGTGGTTGATTGAAAGCTAAAACCACTTATAAGGTGGGGTGGTTGATTGAAAGCTAAAACCACTTATAAGGTGGTTTCTGTGTAAAAAAAAACTTGAAAGATGGTTTCTATCAATTTGGCCTATTTCAAAGGTCCTTTTCATTAAAAAAAAAGCCCTCGTAAGTACTCCACCTTGCATGACTATATATTTACAAAAGAAAAATTGTTTCCATATATGACTCAATATATTGCAGGGAAACTAAAACGACTGCGGGTACGAGACATGACAAATTTGCAAGCGGTAGGGTATAGGGACACAACTATTAACATATGTTGAAATTAATAATTTACATAGAAGCAATCTAATTTTTCATTCTTGTGTATGAGAATTAAAACTCCTATATATGTTTCTTTTACTATGTATATTATAAATTGGAAAATCGCTCAATTTTTAACAAGATAACCTATACAACCCTTTAAATCATCTCTCTTAATTAGGCATGGACTCAAATGAATCTTACCTATGTCCAATGAGTTTTAAGAGGTGGACATGAAGTACACTGTCTACGTCAAAGAGGTGTATTGTTTTAATTAAAGCATACATTATATAATTGAGTACACATTGAAATAAACATATAGATATATTCAAGGAGTGTCCAAGGAAGTGTTAGTGTGGGCGTGGGTATGGGTACGTGTTCGTGTCGAGTACGGGTATGGCATCAGACAGAAGCGCCCAAGTAACATCGGTGACTGATTTGTGACATCTCTTGTCCCCAATTTCACTTTCAGAATATTTATTCAGATGGCTTGTACTTTGCACTCTCTTTGTTCTCCTTTGTTCACCAGTGAACCTTAGAAAGTACAACACTATCAGTTAGAATTCATCCGGCCATGATTTCTAGAGAACCTGTTCATTCATCCATTAGGGACCTAATCATATCTTCAGCACAGTTAGGAAACCAGATATCATTTCAAATTTGGCCCACGCTTTGCAATTATCTTGAATCCAAAAACCAGGATAATATGATTTTATTGAAATCTAAGCTTGGTTTGGTGCAAAAATTGTAATTTCCTTATAAAATATTGTACAGTAGATCACAACGATTGATAATAATGATTTTGACACAAGATAATAAGTAAGCAATTTCCTAAAGAGCTAATGGCGAAAAACATGTAACTAACCCAAGGATTTGGAACAAACTCTTCTTTGGGTCGTCACGCCTTTATTAAATTGGAATAGGAAAATAGAAGATATGAGTAGTAAAAAAGAAAAACCTAAGAACCACCAAAGCAGGATACTAACCTGTGCAATTATTTGACCAGAGGGGTATTTTGCTACCCTTGCAAAAGTTTGAATAGCCCATGGATCGGGACCACTCTGCCACATAGTGCAGTTGAATTTAGTATGTAATAACAAATCAAGATGCATATTAGATCAAAAAAATTCATCATAGAAGTGAGACAAATAGAATTAGATGAAGATTTTCAAACAAAGAAAGAGGCAGCATGATGATTTAAGTCAAATTAAAACTAGCAACTATGAAATAGCTCAATAACTTACTTTTGAGCTAATAAAATGCTAACAAATGCCAAAGAAAAGAAATTTTGAAATATGTACCTGAAATAAGACAGACTTTCCACCAATCCCCATAGCTTCCAAATCAACAATAAAACGAATTGTCTCTCTCCATGGATGCTGCATGAATATAAGGAGAAGATGACTCAGGTATAAAGGCAATCAAGAGGCAAGAGCAGATACCATTGTAAAAAATATTTAGATCTATAAACACATGTCAACTGTTAGGGAGAGATATAAATATGAACTGGAATTGAGAGATCAAATTATTGGAGACAACAATTAGAACATTCTGAGAAACTAGTAATATATGATGAATGCCTCAGAGGTCACGACCACATACTCGGTAAGACAAAGAAAATTCATGCAAGCACAAAATTTAGAAGTATGCCAGTAAAAACTACAGCCACAGAGACTGAACATGAGTGAACTTAAATTGATATTTGAAGAACTTTGAGAGCACTGTGACATGAATAATCGATGAGGTAAATATTAGCATCCAATGCAATGAATAAGACACCCAGACGTGTTAAAATGTGATAAACTAGTCATGTTTATTTATTGAGACGAAAAAGAACAGAAAGAAAAACTGTTATTATATTTGAAGTCACATACAAAGAGTAGAAGAAGCATGTAGAATTGTAATTACAAGTGAATTAACTTGTGAAATACAAGATCTCAAAGAGGGAGAAATGCAAGTTAACAAAATCAGTAATAAAATTAACATTAGCATTTATTAATAGTATTATGGTTATTACGATGACTATACTTATTATCATTGTAATCATCATCATAAGGTTATTGGTGATCACTGGTAAGTCCTCATCTGAATTGTTGTTTACTGTTGTTAGGGGATTCAATTATGAATATTGTTTCAAATATCCCCGACATGGCCCGATATATCCTTTTACGGGGTTTGCCGCAACCAATATGTTCACTAAATATCATTTACCATATTTTGGCTATTTTGGGTGATATATCCCTGATGTAGCCGATATATCAGCCAATATGTTGGCCGATATATCCTTTTATATGACTTGTCATAAAACAATATACGATGTTTGGCAATTTTGGGCGAGATATCATGTTTTCCCATTATATCAAATGACATTTTGACCTACAAAAAATCTGACGATATATAGCAATGTCGATTTGTACTTTTTTGTTTTATAAGGTTGATTAGTGATCCTAAACATATATTATTTACATTTTGTATACTTAGATTTCATTAAGTATGTTGAGATAACATTTTAGTACATTATATTATATATGCAAACATTCATTTTGGCATTCCGATATTTACCATATTTTCCCGATATCCGCAATCCGAAATGAATTTTGGATATCTGATATTTTTCCGATATCCGATATTTAAAACCTTGATTATGAAAGTTGGATGCAGACTCTAACAAACATTTTTCCCTTATCAACCTCCCCTTGAGCTAAAACTGGTCAAATTAAAGTTGCAATTCCACTTTGTTGTCATATTATTGTCCATATACCAAGAACGAAGTCATGTTCTTAAAGACAAGATGCAATCACATGATAGCATGAACAAGCTAGTAATGAAAAGAGGAAGGAAGAGGAGGGGTGCATCTTATGGTGTTTAACTTGGATTTACATCCCAATATGAGAAATAGCTTATTATGAGTCTGTTTTTAAAGGAAAAGAGGAGTATTCATGCAAGCTGTTCACATTGCAAACTTAACCCTCTTATAACATGAAACATCTACTATGATAAACAATTGAATGTTCTCACGATATGAGACTTTGATTAATACCTTTTTTTTCACATCTCACGAAAGAAAGAATTTTTAAATCCCTCTGGTTTTCTCTATAACCGTGAAACCACATTTAACCAAAAAAAAGAGAAATCTCAACCAACTCCTCCCTCTCTAACTAGAAGATCTCTAACTACCTAATATTTTGTTAACAACCCTATCTCCTTTAATAACTTATCTATCTCTTCTTCTTTTTCTTCATAAAAACACACGAGAAATAAAAAGAGAAGGGTCGGGTACTCAAGGAGAAGGAACGGATAGGGATTTCAAATTTCAGAGTCTAATTATTATTTTGGCAAGCATTTCTTATCCTTCAACTCTTTTATTTTTCATGATCACCTTATCTAGATACTAGGATTTCTTTCTAAAAAATCATGAGCAAGAGATTGTAATTGGGTTTATCACCTTTTGTTGATTACAAAGACATAGGAAAAATCTTTACTCTTTATGCAAGCATTTTTCTTTTGGATAATGATATTTTCTCTAACAAGGAAATAAATTTTCTTCTTTCAATTTTTTCCATAATTCGAGTAATATTATTATTATCCATTTTGGCCAAGTTTAGTATAACAATGTATTTTCGGGTTTATTTTTTTTTCAAACCCCTACTTCTAATTAATTTGTTTTTTGTTAGTCTAGTAATCAGAAACTATCTGTTATATGTACTTCTACAGTAGTAGTCGATTTCTCACAGATGTGTTTGACCTAGTGGTCACATGACTTGGTTGCTACCCCTTAGTCATCGGTTCAAATCTCATGATCCTCTTTTTATGCTAATTAGGTAATTAGGTATTTAGGTGAATAAGAAAATAATTTCCCTTTTAAATTATAACTTCTATGGTGAGTAGATTTAGCTAATAAACGAATGAATTTCTATTATTTGGACAAGGGATTTTTCCAACTAAAACATATCTTTAATTTATGTGTAAATTTCTTTTTATGGTAACAAGTTTATTATTTTATTATTATTTTTATAATTTCGTTTCTAGTATTAGTATGTACAATAGATCATATAAGTTTTCTAAAATCTTTCATACATTATTTATCCTTAATTTGTATTTTTTTATAGAATCATATTAAACTGGAAATAGGTGGAAAAAATTATGCAGCAGCAAGCTAACTGAAGAGACCCCTTAGCCATAGTGGTCTAGAGGCAGCACCTCTAGCATGGAGGTCCGGAGTTCGAATCTCAGAACCTTAAATTTTACAAAAAAGAATTAATTAGGTCCATTTTTTAGCTCAAACCCGACCCGGTTGAGGTCCAACATCAAATACTAGACCTGTTTGGGTCTAAAACTCAAATTCCAGACCCGTTTGGATTTATAATTTTAAAGATTTCTAATTTTTTTTCTAGATTATAGTTATAACAAAGAATAGTTTTAATTGTTTGTTGCAGGCAATTTTTTCACAAAGTAATGGTTGGAGTTGTAGTTAGGTGACTTGGTTATTAGCTCTTAGGTCTTGGGTTCAAATCCTTAACCCTTCATTTTTTTCAAATCCATTTGGGTCTGTTGTGAACTTAAACTCGACCCAATTATGATCCAATATCAAATTTTAGATCCGTTTGTGTTTATAATTCAAATTCCAGACCCGTTTGACCCAGTTAGGATCCAATATCAAATTCCAGACCCGTTTGGATTTATGACTCAAATTTTAGATCTGTTTGGACCTTTTGCTCACTAAAATCAGAAGTGCCAATCTTTAGGTCATTAAACCAAAACCCGTTGACTTATTCTGACACTAAATAATTATGTAAATTATTTATCTTTCCCTTTTTGATAAGTAAAGTGATGACATTTGATGATGAATACCCGATGTCATGTTTGATCACTTAGTGACATTTACTAAGGTCGATTGTGCATGAAAACGACTTCCGTCAAAATATAATTCATAAGCATCCTATCATAGCATGGCTATACCCTCGACATCGATATCCCAGTGTGAGGAGTTTCTCTTAATTATTACTATTATTATAATGGCATTGACCAAACGATGCACACATCTTGATTAGGCATGTTTTGGGTCACGGTTATTTTTCATAGTTTTACGGAAGTTGTTCCACGGAAACTCTGTGGTTAGTGAATAATATTTCATGCACAACCACTTAAAATCAATAGATAAATGTGGGTTTTATAAAAGGGAATTGAACGGAAAATATAACGCGTATATAAGTGGGCTCATGTGCACTCTTGATATCCTGAATTATATATAAGGGTCAAGGGCTAATACTTGACTTGAAGCCGTGTTCCCGGGACGATTATGGGAACCCGATTTATATACATGATTTTATTCTCCTCTAATTCAAATAACATGTAAAATAATAATAATAATGTGCTTGTATGCTTTGTGATAGACTTATTCTTAATATTTACAAATAGCATTTCTTTTAGTCACCACCTTTAATTTAGATTTCATTGTTTCTTGATGTCTGTCACATACACTTACACACGCACAATTTCCTTATTTTACATGCTTGTTGGGAGTTTTCTGGCTCCCCTGGGGTTTGTGCGCCCCATACTTAGGGACTATTCTTTCTTCGCAGGACCGAGAGTATTTTGAAAAGCAGGCACAGTGACAGTGATCACCGTTTATCCTATCAATTCTCCAGTTCAATTGTCTTAGGTAGTTATTTTGACTGAGACGTTTCCTGTAACCACATGTGATTCTCCATACTATGATGTATTTTTCCTCTTTCCTACTTTGGATAGTTGTGGATTTGTAGTAGAACTCTGTCTTTTTAGAGATTTCTTTATCTATCTATTTTCTGTGTTATCTTAGTTACATGCTCTATGTTGTAGTTCTTTTTGGCAATATATTTGTATACATGATGACCTAGAGGCGTGAATGTGATTATATGGTTACATTGCCGGCCGAGTTACGTTCCAAACTATTACGCTTTGGTACCGGGGCGTGACACTTTGAAGCAATAAACATCGAGATTTAGCCAACAAAAATCTTCTAATAGCAAACTCTATATATATGTATGACGAAAATCTTCTAATTTGCATAAACATCACAATTATAATCATTTAATATAGATATAAAACTAAGATATGCACCTTTTAGCAAATTAAGGTTCAGATTTAGCTTATAGATAGCCATATAAAATCAAAACCTATAAAACTGCACATGTACTACACTACTACTACATTCAGATTGCATATCTAGCACTCAAAAATTGAAATTTATAATCCAATTTATATGAAAGTAGTGAGAGATATTTAGAACTATATCATTGCATAAACTTCTAAGAATATATGTGGGTCATACTATGCCTAGCCCAACAAGTCTTATTTTCATCAATTTCTCAATTGTACTCAGCTTTATGTTTTTACCCATCAACTGTTATAAAAGGGATCTTTTTTCATAGTAGATCCTCAGGTGTTCAGCACAGTTTCTAACATAAAGAAGTTTGTAGTCTTCTGAATCTTTTAGTGAAGGAAAAAAGAGAAAAACAGAATAAATACAATTTATAATATCAACAAGAATAAAGAATACTCCTCATCCTTATGAACAACTGATTAGTACACTCTCTTCATCCTGAACTATTGATATCCTCTAATATCTTCTTTTTTTTCTCTTTAGCCAAAGCTTATGTGCAAAAATCGTGTGACACAAGTTATATTGAAACACTGGGTTAACTAATCAACCAAATGCACCATCAATATCAAAAGCACTAAAGCACTAAATTTAAAATGATCATCCAAATATGATGTAAGTGCCCAATAGATGGATAAACAGCCATATAAAATCAACCCAAATGGACACCTTTGGTGATGGGCCCTATAAAAGATCTACATGCTTGTCGGAAGATTAATGGGACATCAATGAAGGTTAGCCTGAAACCTGAGTTATAAAGCTGTGTGCACCATTAAGACCCTCCTCCTCGCCAGTATTAAACAAAAAGATAAGACCATTTTTAAATCCATGAGCCCATTGTGATACTCCTCGAGCAAGCTCTAGCATCACACCCACGCACGAGCTGCAGTCACCAGCTCCTTCCCTGCAAATAGAGAAACACCTTTTACTTCCACTAAACCAACCATTTGCTATAGACAGAAATAGCACCAAAAGGCACTTAATAAGTTTATTTTCCGTAGCATGGAGTGAAATTCATACATCAGAAATACATAAATTACACTATAGCATTTAAGTCATATATTGAGTAGCAAGTATAAACAATTTTAGTTATATGTTTGCAATAGTAAGTAACATTTACAAAGTTTGCATTCATGCAATTACATTTATAAATGCTTTTTATTTTCCCAAGATGTATCCTGACCTATTTATATGAATTGAGGTATTGCTTTGAAGAATCAATACACAAGAGGGTAACATAATCCTCAATTAGTATCAGTCAAATAAAGTCTCCAATTAAATACACTAGATTTTAAGCACATGTTTTTCATGTCCAAGTTTTTTTTAATTACTTAGGATCGTCGTAAAATTAATTAGGGTAAATAGCATATAATTGCTCTCATATATACCTTTAGTAGCACTTACACCCCTCGACTGCTTTATTAGCACTTAACACCCCTAAAATTAAAATCATGAGGGGAAGGCGGTTATCAGAAATTTATTCCTCTAGAAATACCAATCAAGGGGTGTTAATGCTAATAACCCTTAAATTTATTATCTTCTATCATTCACTCATGATCTTTTTTACCATATAGAGGGGCATAAATAATCAGGAGGGCAACTTGGGTGAACGATTCATGTTACTGTATAGATGGGAATAGGAGAGATCAGAATAGATGACCATCACGTGTTGCATGTTTTCAATCCCCTAGCTGTCAACTGCATACAACAAACCTTTCCATATTGTGTTGCTCATTTTTATTAACATCGCTTACCTGAACAAAGGCCATTCTGTAGCTGAAAGTTTTCCAAGCGAGTTATGCATTAAGGGGCTGTTTGGTTATTTCCTAAAAAACCAAAAAATAGAAATGCAAACCAAGAAAACTCAAAAAGTACAATTTCACACGTTTCCATCCCTAAAACTCACCCACAACATCTAATAAAATATTATTTTTATCCAACAACTCATCCATCACATCTAATAAAATATTATTTTCATCCAACAACTCATCCATCACATCCACCACATCTAATAAAATATTATTTTTATCCACAACATCACTCAACTCATCTCATCTCATATTTAAAAATTACTCACATCATCCAATAAGATTGTGACACCTCATCTCATCTCATTAACATTTTATTTCTTTGTTTTCCTCCCAAAAAGCTAGAAAAATAATTTCCTTAAGTGTGGGTCACATCATCCAATAATATAATGACAACTCATCTCATCTCATATATTTTCTTATTTTTAAGAAATAACCAAGCAAAAGAAAACAACCTATTACAAGAAATAGGTTTCTTATAATTTATTTCATTATTTTTTCCGCCAACCAAACAACATCAAAACAAGTTTTCTTAAAAAATCACTCACATCATCCTATAATAAGGTGACAACTCATCTTCATTTCTTTGATTTTCTTCTTTTTTTAGCAAACCAAACACTCCCAAAACAATTCTTTGATTTAATAGTTTTCCATTTCTTTGATTTTCAATTTTTTTAGGCAAACAAACAGGCCCTAAAAATACTAATACCTCACGTTGTTGCACTCTGCAGACAGCTATCTGCCATTGGCAACTAAGATCTAACAACGCTGGATTGCTACCTATAGTACTCTAATTAAAATGTTTTCTTTAACTACCATCTAACTACAAATCTCCTGATAGTTTCCAGAGTTTCAAGTATCTTTACCCGGAAGATGTGCTGTGTGTCGACATTGTCCAAATATGTCAATTTTAGTTTTCATTTCATTCATGTTAACAGATCTTTACCCTTATTGTGACCGTAACTTATGTTTCAATTTATGCCAGAGAAAAGTTAGTGAAAAGAAAATTTAAACATACGCTGAGAAAACTGTGTCAATGTGAGAAGAAACAAGAATCACATGTTCTGCTGCTTCCGGTAGATATTTCGGTAGGATTCTCAAGACCACATGTTTCAAATCAGAATAAATGAGTGTTTTCCCTTTAAACAGACCACTCACAAGACGATTAGCACCAGTGTCAGCATGGAAGAGATCCACTTGAACATCAACCTCCCAGTGCGCTGTCTGTTTTATATTTTCAGCTGCTGCCAAAACATACTAACGTAAAAATGTCAAGAAAAAGACAGCATTAATGAATTAAGTGATAACGGATCATCAATGGAAAAAACAATAAATCCATTAAAGTTATATAAAGATCATGCTAGGACTGATGGCATTCTAGAAATAACATATGTAGGCATGAAGAAGTTTGAACTCGCTAACAAGGACAATAAAGCCTGTGCCCTAACATTTCTTGGTTCTAATAACAGATGAGCTAGCTGCAAAAGTAAACACAAATCAACATATGTGACGATTCTCATTGTGAAGGTTATGAGTTTTGCTACTACCACAGTCTCAAAAAGGTAACAAGTACAATAGATTACAAAGTGTAACGATTATTACAAACTATGAAGTGAATTTCCAGTTTATAGAATCCAACCATACAAACAGGGGCGGATCCACCCCATGGGAAGTGGTGTCATGTGACACCACTTCCCATTGGTTGGAAAAACATCTAAGAGGCAATGAAAAAGATAGGAACAGCTCCATCAAAAAAAAAGTTAGGAACAGCTTATACTAAAACCCAGTAGAAGGTAAGTTGATAAGCAAAGAAATATAAATGAAATATAAACTAACCATATGATCTTCAATGTTCATATTAGTATTTTTGGTTCTTAATTCAGTTGATGGGTAGCATAAAGGCAGCTTACGAATCCCCAGACTGAGCCAAATGTGGGACTATAAAAGAATCATGTTTTCAGGCACTCATTATACATTTTCTTGCTCATAAACTATACACCTTCCGTATCATATATCAGTCCCTAATCCCTATTCAAGAATCATGTTCCCAAATGCACCCCGCTTAAAGCCTTCAAGAAGTGACATTCAAACAAAACCACAATAACACATGTCCAGTAAGCCCATATCATAAACTATCTGACAAGGTTGCTAGCCCATATCAGTAGTATTCTTGGAATAAAAAAAAAGTCTCAAGAATAAGGTGTATTGTCAATATTTTCTCCCCCAAATATGCATACTAAGTATAGGTCCCATATGTTAAGTAACCAGCTCGTTCAAGTTAATATTGCACTTATCTCCTTGATAGAGTTACTAATTGAAGTTACTATTGTGCTTTTTTCTAAGAATAAAAACCCATCGAGAAATAGTTGTAATTTTTAAATATTAACTATATCGTGACACCACTACCTAGAAGTTCAGGATCCGCCACTGCATACAAACCAGTAAAACAAGTAGCACGAGATAAAAAGTCTGGTAATTTATTCTCTTATTCTTCAGGTCATGTTTGTTATTGGAGGCTCTTTGTCCACGTAATATATTATATCATGGATATTAAACATGTCAGGTACATTATATAACACACATGTTAGTTGTTACATTACCCAAAAAAAACCAAAAGTCCAGGTACAGCAATTGATGGAGTGATTGAAGTAACACGTGCCTTTAAAGATATCGATTGAACGAAAACAAAAAAAAACAAAAAACTCCAGAAAGAGAATCTTGAAAGCAAAAAATCAAGAATACCGGAAATCCTTAACATGTACCTCTAATGCAACATCAAGGGCATTTGAACCGACAGGATGAGGACCCAATTCTGCCAGGTACTTAACATGGTTCATTGCTGAAATTTCTGAGAAACCCCGCTTGCCTGCCTGCTCAGTATTTACAGGCAAAGGGAGATTCTGAATCTCATAATAGTAAACTGCCCAGGAACCATTTAGTAGGAGTATGAACAAGGCTACCCACAAGAATGCCGATCTTTGGGGTCTGTCACCTTTTTGTTCAATACTAGATTCATTATAAACAGCAGCTGATGCCAACACCGCTGGTGGAGAAGTGTTGCTTCTCCTTGGCATCTTAGAGGTACATTCAGATAACCTGAGTAACGATGGCTACTTTTTTAGTGACAATCAAGTGGACAAAAAATGCCATGATGTTAAGCATGATACAAAATAACAAATGAAAGTTTATATGCACAATACCAAGCATCTCATAACTCCTGCCTGATGGTACGAAAATATGGTAAATACCAAACAGTAACAATCATTAAAAATGATCTAAAATAAATTTCAGATTGATGTTGCTCTTCTTTTCAGTAGCCACTGAAAGAGTAACATGTTATTGATGGTTAATTTCGTAACTGATTTAGAGCAAGTTTTACGCTTTAATGAATTATTTGTGTCAACAAATAATCTCCAAGCTAAAAAGTTCAGCATCTTAATTCTCAGAGTTTCCTTGGCTTCTTGTTAGGCAAAGAAATAATAATAATAATAAGGATTCGAATTACTCTTTCTCCCTCTTTAATGAAGGGGGAAAAACAGCATTTTTCAGGTAAACTGATCGAACTACTCGTTCTCCCTCTTAATACTAATCAAATTAAACTATATTAAGAAGAAAAAAATAAAATGGAAGGATTCGACGAGAATTAGGGTTTAAAGAGGAATTACCTTTTCATAGAATCCGGAAAAGAGTCTAAGACGCGAGAAAGAGCGAAAGTGAGAAGAAAGTCAAACTCTGGGAATTTAAAATAGCCACTTGTTCGTCTCCATCGCTGAGATCGTTCATGGGCCGTCATTTACCGGGTCCTATCGGATCGGATCGGATCGGATCCGGTTCGGGTCGAATTCTAATGGGCCCAAGGTTTTTGTGTTCTAGATGAGGAGACATTTCGAGTTCTACTTTGGGGGTGTTTGGTTAGACAGTTTTGTAGAAAAGTTTTCTTAAAATATCTGACAATAGTAATTTCGTAATTAAAAAATTTCTGTAGATTTCCGTAAACTATGTTTGGTTCAAAAAGATTTTATAGAAATATTTTCTGTAAAGTACAAAAAAGTACCAAATTTTACAGAAATCAATTTCCTCTCAAAATGGACGGAAATCACCTAAAAATATGATACCACATTGACACATTTCTATAAAGTTGACACTTTTCTATAAATTTAGAGGGTGTCTGGTTCAATTTCTACAAATTATAGGAAATCTTGCTATTTTCTATAAAGTTATGGGTCATTTTCTTGTTTTGAACCAAACAAGCAAAGGAAAAAAAAATTGGTATTTTTTAACTTCTCAAAATTTTTCCTATAATTTTTTAAGAAATACAAGGATATCATATTTTGGGTGGAACATATTTCCTATAATTTGTTGAAATTTAGGGATCGCGTCGGGTATATTTTAGGCTAAACAGACTCTATCAATCATATCATATCATATCATACTTCATATATCTCTTTAAAATCGTTCGGGAAAATCTTTCTATGGTCAATATTATCCTTCACTATTTTAAATATTTTATTCATATCTTAATCTATCTTAATCAGAGTTATATCCTATCCTAATCCTACGTGAACTATCTATAGCTTACCAATTTAAAAAAAAATATTAATAAAATATATAAAACATCTTTATAGTATTAGTTTGTTAAGATAAAGAAATTATACGTAGCTAATATACTATAATATATAAACTATTGCAACAAAACCTAAAAAGTTTAAAAATTACACAACATACCCTGAAAAGTTTAAAATTATAAAAACTATCCCGACGTCTAAAAACTTAAAACAACAAACATAAAATTAAGAAAATATCAGCAGTTTGCGAAGAATTTAAAATTTACAGTTAACATCTCAATATCTCAAAATTATAGAAACACCCTCAAAAGTTTAAATTACAAATAAGCACCTAAAATTCTAAAAATTCAAATCTTGCAAACAATATAGATGAATTCAAGGATTACTATAATGCACTTGAAAATTTTTGATATTTCAAAACTTAAAACAACAAACATGAAATCAAAAAATTAACAGTAGCCTCCGAAGAATTTAAAATTTTTAATTAACACCATCAATGTCCTAAAAATTATAGAAACACCCTCAAAAGTTTAAATTATTAAAACAACCCTAAATATTTTAAAAATTTTAAATTTCCAAACAAAAAAAGATGAATTCAAGAGATTACCCTCATGCCCCTAAAAATTTAAAATTTACCAAAATTAACCTTAAAGTTACAAAAGTTGTAGAAATAACTAAAAATAAAAATTTTAAATATCGCAAAAAACTCTAAATTTTTAAAATTTATAACCAGTACACATCAAATCTAAAAATTATTGGTAAACCGCAGAAATTTTAATTTTTTAAAAATTAATCTATAATTTTAATAATTGCAAAAGGCAGCCTCAAAATTTCAAAGTTGTAAGAAATATCACGATATTTAAAAATTATCACTAACACATGAAACATTAAAGTTACAACTACCAAACTTAAAAGTATTTTTTTTAAATGCTCCCAAAGTTTTTAAAAATTACAAATCACACCCTCAAAGTTCAAAACCACAAAAAAAAGGTTAAAATTTTAAAACTTGGCAAAGAAAAGTGTAATTGTTACGTATTCTTGAAGGACTTGTATGAACCATCTGAGGTCACAAATTAAATATCATATCATATATACCGTATAGTATACTACTATATATAAATTTTATAACCTATTAGTATTATATACCGAGAAAGACCCAAGAGAGATGAGGAGAAGAAGAAGGGAGAGAGAAGAGAGAAATTGGGGTATTCTTTGTACCCAAACACAAAAAATATGTCCGCTTGGTAGGTGAAGGTGGCGATAATCCTCCGTCCACTTCATTTAATACGTTACATATCTCCAATGCAACTTCTCAATCCATATTGAATGAGTGGTCCCACCATTTGAATGAACCGTGGAGGGGAATTGTGATCCCGAACCAGAGTCACTACCCAGCACACGAAAAATTTTGTGCTTGGTACCAAGCATCCATAGATTTTCATATATGAAACATATAGTATATCGTATTATAGTCATATATATATACCCCATACCGTATATAGGTAGATATTAAAGTATGATCTTAGAAGTATTTATAACTATAGTACCTATATATATATATATATATATATATATATATATATATATATATATATATATATTCCAATTTAGGGTTTACTATCCATTTTCAACATCTAAAGATAGTCTAAGTTGATACTGGTAAAAAAAACAATAAGAATTGATTAAAAATATCCGGTTAAGCAATAAAAATTTTAAAAATATTATAGCTTAAAAATTATCATCACCATATAAATTAAAGCAACTAAATAAAATTTTACTAATAAGTTAGAATAGTAAAACACATTAGTGAAGTTAATTGATAGATTTTAAATCATTAAAAATTATAAAAGACTATAATATAATAGCTCAGCATTAATTGATTATAATTTAGAAACATTAATCTCTAGTGTTAATAATATTTATAGTAAAAGAATATAATGAATTACGTATGGAAAAACAATCATAATGTGTAGAGATATTCTTCAAAAAATCAAGTTATTTCCATTGCAAATGGGAAAGTGACGGAAATAAATCTAAAATTCAGAAAACATCTACGAATCATTTGAATTGGTATTAACATAAGGCATGTCTATTAAAAAAGCATTAACTGAGTTACATTGAAGAATAATTTAATAATTTTATCACAATCAAAGAAGAATTCTCCATGGAAGATATAAGAAAAATTAGTAAGCATTCATAAATTCATACTTTGTTCTTCAAATACAAAATAAATTAAATATTAATATTATAATCTAAGCCAAATTGGCAATAATATAGATATTTAGTTTAGATCTTTGTGGAAAATGACAGGAATAGAGCAAATGTAATATTATTAACATAACAGAAACTCTTATTGGATGCACATCAGAAGAATTCATTATAGAGAAAAAAGAGGTAGCTCCTAATATTATTTAAGTAATAAATTAGGAACACAAAGAATTTTATATATATGAAATAAATATTTTTTTTATTAAAATAAAAAAATTAATGTATGTATTTCAAGAAGTTTATGTTGAACATCAAAAATACATTTAGACTGATGTCACAATCGAGTAAATGATGAAGATACTACTCTAGAATTACCCGGGAAAAAGATAAATGCGAGGAAGGATTGATCTTAGCTCATTAAAAGAATAAAACAGAATGAATAAAAAATAATGTTTTCTGAATATTTTATAGAATAGTTTAATTATTTTGATGGAATTTAGAAATCTTTGGAAAGGAGTTTCATGAGCTTTTTACAGAACTTTTATATGCTCGTACAGATGCTTTTATCATATGAAAGTATACTAGAGTTAGCATTAATCTTTAATTCATAATTTTTTATGGAATCTATCAATGATTAGGAACAAACTTTATATTCTCTTTTGTATCATTTTAGTATACTTTTAACCAATCATTTTGCCTTATTGGTTTTAAACATTCACCTTTCTTGTGTAACACTGTTTTAATATTTTTTTCACTTTTTCAACATTGTACTTTCTCAAGTAAAGCTTGATTTTATGTCCGTCAAAATAATATGAAAATTCAAATTAGCTTCAAATTATATTTATTTTCTATCAAATATCAACGTAAAAATTTAAATTGGGGGTAGCCTGTTTAAACAAATATCAAAGAAAATAAATAATCACAATATTAAATTTATGAGACAAAAGTGAGCACAAATTACTAAAGTGGAACTGAAAAACAAATTTTAGTTAGAAAATCAAACTCCCTTTAAAAACATGAGTTCAAAAAAATCTTTTCATGATCAATATTACCCTTCACTATTTTAAATATTTTATTTATATCTTAATCTATCCTAATTATAATTATATCATATTTTAATCATACATGACCTATCTATAGCTCAAAATTTTGAAAAAATAATATTAATAAAATATATAAAATAGCTTTATTGTAGTTTGTTAAGATAAAAAATTATACGTAGCTAATATACTATAATACATGAAATATGATGTGGCATAATTATGTACCAAAATTACAAGTGCATAATTTATCAAGTTATATAGTATAAAAAATATCGATCCCACGAGGAAGGTGATTTTAAGAGATTATTAGAAATGGTTCTTATGTTTTGTGCATGACAATTAGGAATAAAGAATAAGTGTGATTGTGATGAGTGGTTGTTTTGATTTATGTGCAAGAGATAATAAATTGAATTTTAGAGAAGAAAGAATCAAAGAATAAATGAAATCACAAAGCAAGAAAGAAGAATGAATAAAATCAAGAAATAAACCAAGAATGAAAAGAAAATTTAAGAAAGTTAAGATGGAGGATTCAAAAGAGGTAAGAAATCTAGAATATAATCCACTAACCAATTTCAATTACAAAATACAAACTATTCTGAACATTTTAAGTGCAAGAGAATAATTCATACAATATAAAGGAAATTAGACTAGTTTCATATAATTCTAAACTTCCTACAAGAATTAAATTCACATCTTTAAGAAATAAAAACAAGAAAAAGAACTAATTACAAAAATAAAAAGAAAAGAAAAATCTAAACTATGAACAAGAAATAAATCTAACTACAAAGAAAATAAAAATCTAAACTACAAAATATATTACAAAAAATAAATGCAAGAAAATAAATCTATTCTACAAATTAAAGTGAAAAAAGAAATAAAAAGACAAGAAAGTAAATCTACACTACAAGCATGAATTTAAATCTAACTAATAAGCAATAATAAAAAAATTACTAA